AGACCCGACGAGTAAGGGTGTTCACAGTGGCTCATTGAGTAAGGTTCTGGCTCGTTAAACAGGAGATCTCCGTGTTGGCTGAGTATGGATTTACAGGCGTGGTTCCCCCGTGTCAGTGGTGCAGGGTGGTGGGCCTGGCAAGAAACATTGTTTAGTTGTTCGGATGGGACAAAATACCGTGATTCCATGTACACGTGTGTACGTAAAAGAACCCTTGAGTGTTCGATTTCAAAACAGGAGTAGACCATAGTGCCGCTGTCCGTGCAAAATTTCACTAGCCCAAAGTGTGTAGAAAAGTAGAACGTTAAGCCCTGTTTTATTTCATTCATTCTTTTTAATTCTGCAGGTCACCAAGATATTGGTTGATATGGTAGAAATTCTAAGATTGGTTTAATTCATTGTAAGCGTAACTAATCACCAAAATTTTATTTTTTCTAACCATAAGAAATACTATAATATTTTCATCTTAGACTAGGTGATCTAATTAGCATGGCGTCTTCAGGCACCATATCTTTAAATCACCGTTCACCTCGGGCCTCGGATTAATGACACGTAAAAACCGCCTCTTCTACTCTTAATGAATTGCTTCTTTCATGTGCTGGATGCTTTGTTGGGATAACGCACTAATTAAATGGTCTTGCTACTCTGATAATCACCGTTTCTTGGCAGATTAATCACATCAGATTAACTACTAAAAAGTTTGCTTCTTAAGAACATCAAGACGCCCGACTTGATTTAAAAACCTGGATAGAATGAAATGAAATGGTGTTTAACGGCCTACTTTTCGACACCAACCGAGCTAATACAGACGGGCATTGTGCTACGAGAGAAATGTTTCCCGGACGAGGCAACTGTCAAGGGTTCTTTTGTGTGCACACGAATGACCAAGCGGGACATCGGGGTTTCGTCTCATCTGGGAAGACGCTGTTCCTTTCGATGTCCCACATCCAGCACGACTGACATGGGGAAACCATGCCGAAAAAATCCAAATGAACTTTTTAGGCTAAAACCGGAATCGAACCCGGACTGCGGGTTAGCGAGCGACCATGACAAATGCAAACCATGTTGTAAAGTCCTGACGAACCTTCTCGTTAAACAATTAACCCCATTTCATTTCATTTGGTTATTCGGAACGACACAGTTTCACCGTATTGATGCCTTATCAGTAAGCTAAACAGTAATCATTGATAAAGAGCATCGCGAGACGCTTGTATTTATTCAGTTGAAATAAAATTCAATAATATTCCATTTTAAGGAAAAAAAACAAGACTCCGTTTCAGATTCATTTAAAAACATCACGTAAGTAGTAGTAATCTTCTGCCAGAAACACGGAAACCGTTTCGATTCGTTTCGGGTAATGATGTAAAAGATATTCTTTTCATATCCGCAATCTACATAGATCTACATCGAAACTCACTTAACGCCATCTACGTCACACAAGCGTGTCTGGTGGGTATTTCTTTTAAATATGCATTCGGTCATCTTAATTCAAACGGTCCATAGAACGTACGGATCGTGTCGCCCTCAGGGGTTGTATTAACCGCCATTTAAATTGTAACAGAACAATCGCTTTCACTGTCAATATTGACTCAAAAACATATTTTTCTTCTCTCTCGAAGTGTCTGGAACAATTTTGTTTGGAGACTTATCACATTCTGACACGGTTTTCCCCGCGTTTAACCACGGTTGCCTATGAACACAGATTTTGTATTGGATCAGTCGTATGTTTAATGTCTAAAACCTTTAAGTTAGTTTCTAAATGACAGTCGTTCAAATGCAGGCTTTAATTATATGTTATGTTCCTTAAATGAATAAAATTGTCCATCCAGCGCTGTGGGCATCATTTTCAAATTAGGTCCAATGATGGGCGCAATATTTTAACGTATGTATTATTGCAGCTGTATTTTCTCTGACGTTATAATAGTGGATCTGGGAGGTATAATCATTTGAGAAATGAAATGAAATGATATGGGGGTTAAACGTCCTACTTTTCGGCACCAACCGTGCTAACGAAGAAGGGCCATAGGTTATGCCCGTTTTAAATGATATGAGGGTTTAACGTCTCACATTTCTGCTCCGACTGGGCTAGTGAAGTCGGGCCTGCGCCATGCAGTGTGCTATGAGGGAAATTTTGCCCTTATAGCAACACAACGGAATGATAAATAGCAAAAGGTCATTTACGTGCACCGCAACATGTATACGAGGTCTCAGGTTTCTCACTAGACACTTCCCCTTGCTAGGCATCACGAAGACTTTCTCGGCCAACGCCGTGATCGAAACAAGGACCGTCTGATTAGTCAGGTAGCATCTTATTCACTGAATCACCGCGTCTCCCTGGAACTTTGTGTCGGATGGTGGATATGTATTAAGAATACCAATGAAGTACTGCACAAAGACATTTCTGTGCCGTACGAAATGACACAGTCCGAATTTGTACCTGATCATATCTGTGATAGAGGCCTTATTTCCAGGATTTCAACATGAAATATTCCCCCCCCCCTTTTTTTATTTCAAGAGCTATGTATTCCTAATGCAGATCTTTTTTGAATATAAATCTTTAATTAGACATTTATTTACATGTCAATTCCATAATCAACTCTCCGGAACTTCGGGTGGTTTGATTTTCAACAGGTAAAAAAACGATTGATTTAATTTAAAAATAGATAATCGAGACTTTGTTTATTATCGTAACAACGTTTACAGTGGCAATCGAGACTACATCGTTCTTCAAAAGGCGATTACTCCGCTCCGAATGAAGTAATTTTCAACATATTCCCTTTTCATTATCTATCTTTTTAACTATTATAGCGAGAATTGTAAGCTCTCTATCAAAATCTTACATAATACATTTTTACAAAGAACATGCCTGTGATGTCATCTTCTGATGGGGGTATTTAATACGTATATTGTTCAGAGTCTTAGCTTTTAATTATGGGGCAACATGAAGTCAGACTTGAACAAAACTAGTAATTAATGCCTTCTAAGCGCTGCTAAATGTATTTTCTTTCTTCTTCCGGGTAATGTTAGAACCTTCTGTTAATAGCTCTCAAGTTAATTGAAGTGGCGTTTCGTTTCTAAGTCCACATTATCAAAGCTTATTTGTAAAGACTTCACCGCCCGCTGCTACCATCCGCTAATTTCGTCTGATCTATCATGGGACTCTGTGCAAACAGCTCCGGCCTTAATAACTCTACTTATACACATCAATCAACTCTATCGAGGCATCCATTAAAAGTCCTGTCACTTGTATATGTGTTGTAGATTTTGTGAGCATCTTTGACTAAAAACCGAATCAGAAATTAGATCCCTACAAGAGGCCATCGATTAATTTGAGAAGAGTAGTAAAATCTGTTATGTTAGACATTGATAGGCTGTGTTATATGTATCGAGAGTTGTTCTTTATAAAAATTAAGCCCAGATCTGACAATGGAAGTAGTACCAGTCGTTCCGAGGGGACAAACAAATCCATACATGAATGAAAAGGGACTTAACGTACTGTTTTACTGCTCAAACAGGGACTATAGTACAACTTCTGGGTAAAGTCATCATCTCCACGATGCTAAATTGTTCAGTCTCCAGCGTAATGGAAAGCATGGTTCCATATTACCGAATTGACGTTCATCCATGCAATGAGAGACTGCGGTGGTTGAACAACCGTTTGGAAATGACGAATTATGTATTCTTACTTTTTAAGAACATTTCGGTTACAAAACGATTGGAAACTTTGAAGTTGCTTAACTCGTGGGCTAGAATAGCAGAAAAACGCATATGCGGCGGTTAAATTTTTAAAAAGTCTCGAGTAACCCGAAATCTTTTCAGGCATTGCAGGTTCTGCCCCACTAATATTCATCGAATCCGTACGCCTATGGGGGCCCTGACGCTGGTAGGTCATATACGCCATGGGCAATCCGCCACTGGCAACGCCAACCGTTAGAATCTTCTCGGGCAGCACAAACCCTAGCTATGCCACTGACTACATTTAAAAGATCCCACAGCAGTTGGAATTCCAAGAGGAGAAGGTCGTTGACCGGGGCGCTTATTGCCAAGGAACCACAGAAATAAAACAAAATATCATATTGTGTTAATTACTATTACTACTATCTTCAGTACTTCATACGATTTGTATATATTTCATATTTTATACACTTACTACAGCAGTATCGGGTTAAAACATTTAATCCAGGGATAATTGACATATTATTTACCTCGGCTATTTTATACATCTTATTACATCGATAGTCGTATATTAATAAAAGCATATAAGTCAAACTAAACGTCCATTCGACACAAATTATGTGATTTCGGGACTAACGTATGGTTTAATTTTATTTCAATAATTCGCTTGGGAGTGGGAGGAAACCTGAGGACCCGGAGAAAACTCACGAGGTTGAACAGGCGACCCTGCTCCTTGTGGTGCAACGTGCTAACCATTCGGCCTTCCAACCCTCTCTTAACTAAACAAAGTGTGGAGTACGACTCGGGACAAGCGGTATATTATGGACGTTTCAGCTACAGGGGATAAAAGGACACTAGCTGGTGTTATTATTAGCTTTAGTGTATATATTCGCGTGCACGTAAAAGAACCCTTGGCAGATCGAATTCGATATAAGAGTAAGCCGTAGCGCCGCTGTCCGGGCAACAGATTTCCAATAGCATACTGTATGGCGTATGTCCGTCTTCATTAGCCCAGCCGGGTAGAACAGTAGGAATAAAATAAAACCAAGTACGAACAATCCAAACCATTAGACAAAATTCGAAGTCCTAAAAAAACGGTATCGGCAAAATAGTTGAATAAGGCAAAATAGTGTAATCAGCATATGAGTTACAGGCCATTTCATTTCTAATATGAGCCATCTGGTTAGGTTTACAGTTAAAAATGTGGTCGGGGCGTCGTATATTTGGAAACGGGATCCACGGGGACTTGATGATTAAAGCACTGGCTCGACCCCAAGGAATAGTTAAAGTTAGACATTAATAATTTGTATTTTGTTAACTTTCAGAAAAGAAGCTGCTCTGGAAATGGATGGCAGTTTCTTGGTAAGATCCATCTATGACGATTCCCTTTCATATGGATTGGTTGGAGCCGCTTCGAAAGTCCTTGGTAAGAATTATAGAATCTGAACTTCTGAATTCTTGTTTCTAGTTCTTTTGTTTTCAAGATAAAATTATATATTCTCAAAAAAATATAACACAATTTATATGGGAAACAATCACTGGTTTATATACATATAGCACGACGTTTTGACAAGTATTCTCTTGTCGTTTGTACTTGAAAACGATAGTAGAATACTTGTCGAAACGCCGTGCCATATGTATATAAACCAGTGATTGTTTTCCATATACATTGTGTTGTGTTTTTTAATGTGCTCAATTGTTGTTCGACCCATTTCTTGCTGCAGAATTACACTTTCACCAAAATATATGTGTTAAAGATTCAGTTTTGCTTTTGTTTCTAGATGTTAGGCTTCTTCATAACAGCTGGTCAAATTAATTCTTTTTTGTCTTTTAGAAATTGATGCCGGTGATATCTTGGAATCGTTTGGTGTGATGTTCTTCCAGTTTTGTGAGGAGTCGGGTTATGATAAAATCCTGCAGGTGTTGGGTGGAACTACCAAAGACTTTTTACAGAATCTGGATGCCCTGCACGATCATCTCGCCACCATTTATCCTGGCATGCAGGCACCTTCCTTCCGATGTTCTGAACGAGAAGGGGATAAGGCAACTATCTTGCATTACTATTCGGAACGACCCGGCTTAGAGAGAATAGTGATTGGTATAGTGAAAACCGTGGCCAAGAGACTTCATAGTTCAGATGTCGAACTAGAGCTCATCCAGTCCAAGGAGCAATGTGGTCATGTTCAATTTATCATCAAGGAGAAATCCACAGAAGACTCCGTCACAGATACAAACGTTGACTCCTACGATAACGTCTTGTCGTATGAGCCTCACATTAGTCCAGCAACGTTCTGTAGGGCCTTTCCGTTTCACATCATGTTTGACGAGAATCTGATCATCAGGCAGGGTGGCAATTCCTTCACCCGTGTTATACCCAACGCCATCGATAACAAAAGGGTTACAGATTTATTTGACATGATTCGACCTCACATGGACTTCACATTTGAGAACATTATTCAGCACATCAACACGGTTTACGTACTGAGATCGAAGGCGAGTGTATCAGATGTAGAAACCATGGATGGGGACTCGAGGATGCGAATCAAGGGCCAGATGATACACGTGGAGGAGTCTAACTGTATGTTGTTCCTGTGTTCACCAAGTGTCATGAACCTCGACGACCTGAACCGGCGTGGGTTGTATCTTAGTGACATACCTCTTCATGATGCCACCAGAGATCTGGTATTGTTGTCCGAACATTTTGAAGCCGAATACAAGCTGACTCAGAAACTGGAGATCCTTACAGACAAGCTGCAACAGACTCATCGGGAACTGGCTGATGAAAAGAGTAAAACCGATAGGTGAGTACGATATGTTACTACAGTAAGCACAGAGGGACCGCGCCACACACAAGCAATTAAGCGTGATAAATCAACAAACAGGACACAATATACACAGACATCACAAACAACAAACGCACATCAGATCAAGGGAACGGATCTGGGGGACTAGCGTCCACTGCGCTACACTGTAGCTTCGTTTTCTTTGATCAGTGTACAGTGTACATTTTAATTCTGCATCAATTTATTAATCTTTTGCTTTGGGAGAATAAGTCTCATAAGCTATAAAGAAATATTTCCCATAGCAACTCACATAACAACCCATTCTCCTTCTCATGACAAGTCCATAACATCGACACCGTTAGCATCCCCTCTCCTGACCTACCCATGCCAAGCCACATCCATAACAACCCATGTCCTACCCACCCCATCCAACACCAATAGCAACTCAAGCGCATCGCATTCCAACACAACAACCCAAGTCTGCCCTATCCCAGTCCATAACAGCCCGCACCCAAAACAGTCTAATCCTAGCAATTCGGAACCCACCTATAACTACCAATACACTACATACCTCAAAATTGTCTGCGATAGCAACTCGGTTGAAGCGGACGTAAAATACAACTAACTCACACATACCGCAAACCCATAACGACCCACACCCAGAACACACCATGTCATATTGCAAACTCGTAACAAAGCGAACACACCATGCCCTATCTATCCCAAACCCAAAACAAGCCATGCCCTATCTATCCCAAACTCATAACAATCAAGAACACACCATGCCCTGTTTATCCCAAACTCATAATACCCTATGCCCTATCTATCCCATTCTTAATCATCCACAACACACCATGCCCTATCTATTCCAAACTCATTCATAACAATCCCAAACACACCATGCCCTATCTATCACATCTCATAAAAATCTACATCTGGAACACATTACACCATCCCTCATAGCACACTACGTGGAGTATACCTATTTTTATGTTCCCGATTGGTGCATAAAAAAGGTCTGGCATTGAATCAAAGTGGCGTGGTTTCAATCGCCCGCTTGTACATGACAAGGAGTAGGGTCGCCTGTCCCTCGGTTTCCCCCCACTGCTAAGGACCCCTACGTGTAAGCGAATAATTGAAAAACAATCGAACCATATGAACTAATTTGTGTCGAGTGGACGTTAAACCCCGTTTCTCCCTCTATCCCTTATGGAAAAGACATAATACAATCTGAAACTGGATACAACCATAAAAAGCATAATGGATGCGTCTTTCTAACATCCGCCGAATATCGGTAAATAGGTTTAAGGCCACACCAATATGATTTTTTGTTCTTCGGGGTTCTGTTTGATGAATAATCATTTGAATCATGTGAAAGATGTTTTGTTTAAAATTTCAAAACTTAAATATTTGGAATGAAACGCTTTTAAACAACGCAACCAGGTAATGTTGGCTGTTAAGTAAGTTTTTTTTCTGAAATAAGAAGGATAATTTTTACAGGTGTTCCAGAAGTTGAGAAAATCAAATTGGTATGTCATTAGAATCGTTTATTGAGTACATGAGGTTTATATAACTCTAATAATGCAGTATTGATCACAGTTCCATAATGGACTTTAGATAATAAGTCTATTTTGTAATTTTGTATACCAGTAATTAGAGCATGGATTGTTTAAGAATTCATATTACCCTCAACGTTTATGACACGTGACACCGCAAACTGACCTTTACTGGTGATTTATTATTCGATTAAGAAATAAAATCCGGTTTAACGTTCTACAGTTCTGCTCCTACTGGGTTAATGAAGACGGGTATACGTCATGAAGCGTGCTATGAAAGGACAGCGGTACTAGGACCTACTCTTATTTCGAATTCCAACTGTCAATCGTTCTTTTATTTGAATGCCAATGTGTACACGGGGCATCGGTTTTTCTTCCTATCCGAACGACTATACGTTGTCCCTTGCCAGCCCCTCCCCTTGTCCTACATCACTGACAAGTGAGAACCATGTTGGAAAACCCCAATGAACTTTCTCGGCTACTCGATTAAGGCATTTTGGGGTTAAACTGTATGGTATATAAAAACAGGCACATACATTGTAAGATGTTTGATAACGGATCTAAGAATAACGATGACTGTGGATTCGTGTATTCATTATAACAGCACACGAAGGTACATTAGTTATAAAGGTGTTATCGACAGGGCCCTCACATGGGGTGGGGGCTGAGGGGTGCATATGCCCGGGGGCGACACCTCTTTGTGGGGGGGGGGGGTAAATTATCTAAATGCATACCTGAAATCCTCTTTGAATATTATTTTATGGATTAGCCTCCTTGGAGGCTGAGATAGCAAATCACCGGCCTTCGCTTCCGCTAAAACCTATGTGGACCAGTCCATATTTCAGCAAATTGAGAGGGTAGAATTATGATTTTTCCAAGATATATTATAGGGCTTTTCGTTCAAATGGAGGGTAGAAGGGGAAATAAACATAAAAAAAAGTTTACATATAAGTTGATTTAATAAATAGTTATTTAGATAAGCCTTAAAAGTTTAAAAGAATGTATTTTAAAAATTCTTTAATCATAAAAAAGTCTACTGAGCACAAACACTGAACAAAGCAGTTACAGTATGCAGGGGGTGGGAGCGTCACTGAAACTTTTGGCCTGGGGCGCCACATAGGCTTGGGAGGGCTCCGGTTATCGACAACGTTATTTGTATTTTAGGGGATTATTGCAGTACTGGAGCGTCTGTGGCTTTAAACCGCCTTTCATTTCGAAACAAAAAATCTAATCAGATCAACGCAAAACTAAGCAATTAACGACTACTAATATCTCGACATTATTAATTATGATATTAATGGTTGTAGTTTCTCATAGATGCATTGTGTAAGAAATGAAATGAAATGAAATGGAGTTTAACGTCCTACTGTTCTGCTCCTAACCTGGGCTAATGAAGACGGGCATACGCCATACAGTGTGCTATGAGGGACATTTTGCCCGGACAGCGGCACTACGGCCTACTCTTATATCGAATTCCAACTGCCAAGGGATCTTTTACGTGCACGCCAATGTGTACACGGAACCTCGGTTTTTCGTCCCATCCGAACGACTAGACAGCTTTCCTTGTCAGCCCCTCCGTCCTGCATCACTGACAAGGGAGAACCACGCCGGAAAATCTGGATGAACTTTCTCGGCCAATGCAGGGATCGAACACCCGACCTCCAGGCTAGCGAGCTAGCGTCTTACCCACTTCGCCACGTGGCATTGTGTAAGAACTAAATATGCCTGTTGCAGGTCTATGTTTTTGATGTTATATAAATTGATAACTAGACATTAAATTATCCACACGAGAAGCCCATAATCAACTCTCTAGACCATCTGATGGTTATTATTTGGAAGGGATTGAAACACAATCGCCATTTAAAAATTTAATTTAAAAATGGATAATCGAGACTTAGTTTATCATTGTAACAAAGCTATTCTTATCAAATCTTTAATATATTCATTTTTCATTATCTGTAAACTATTATAAAGAGAACAAGATTTAGATAAAGAACTATAACATCTTGGTTCAAATCAAAGACAAAAGATAATAGACATAAATTTCTAAACAAGTTTCTTTGAGTTATACGATCCGATGCCAATACATCAGTAAGGGGGTGGTCGATAATTGTCCGATTATATATTGAATCAGCTGGTGCACTCTCGTCTTCTGGTCTGTCACATCCGTCTATGTAGAAGACACAGGAAGACCAAGATATCTGACACCACTGGGATGGTGGAAATCGATGGAGGTTTGTGGAAGACAATAGAAGAACAATGTGTTTTGTAGGCTAGCCTGGAGGTCGCGGGTTCAATCCCGGTGTTGGCCGAGAAAGTTCATCGGGATTCTCCTCCGTGATGTCGCCTTGTCAGTGGTGTAGGGCGTAGGACCTGATAAGGACAGCTGTCTAGTCGTTCGGGTGGGTCGAAAACCCGAGGTCCAGTGTACACATTAGCGTACACTTAAAAGATCCCATGGCCGTTGCAATTCGATATAAGAGTAAGCTGTAACGTCGCTGTCCGGGCAGAATATCCCTCGTAGTACATTGTATAACGTCTGCTCGTCTTCATTAGTCCAGTCAGAGCAGAACAGTAGGTCGTTAAACCCCATTTCATTTCATTTCATGGCATTTCGAGATCAACACAATACTTTGGTAATTTCTAGGATAAAATAAGAGTCTCGTTAATACAATACATTGGTCATTTCTAGGATACAAAAGGGTCTCTTCAAACATAATACCTTGGTCATTTCTAGGATAAAATACAGTCTCGTTAACACAATACCTTGGTCATTTCTAGAATACAAATGAATCCCGTTAACACAATACATCGGCCATTTATGGGATAAAATAGGGTCTCGTATAACACAATTTGGTCATTTTAACTGTTGTTCAGCATAAACTGGTGCTCGTAAAAACAAATTCATTATTTGAAAATTAGAGTTCATTTCCATATGTATTGGATTGGATAAATTATGTCGTTCAATACCAGGTCAAATGCCCAATCCTAGTAGATTATTACTGATGCTTGTATCACTGAATGGAATAAATCTGGTTTCTGGCAGAATGAAATAAAGGCGGTGACCGTTAACGGTCATCAACATGGATCCGCATTGCAGTTGCCAGACTACAACACATGACAATTTACACTTGATCGTTCGAGGTATAATCAAATCTTGGTCACACCAGTGACCGCGTTAGTCGCTTGTTAGTTACGCCATGAGACACCCTAATAAACGACCTTGTCCTCAATTACCATGTATTGAAACATCCCAATAAGAGATTTTGTCCTCAATTACCTGGTATTTAAACACCCCAATAAGCGACCTTGTCCTCAATTACCAATTATTAAAAGCTCGTTATACCCAACTAAAATAGATTGCCAAATAGCGTTAACCTACTAAAAGAAAACAACAAAATGTAGCGACCTGGTCCATAAAGTGGTCGTCTGTTAAGTTATACTTGATTCATAAGTCTAATGTCGCCGAAGTCAATGGCGCAGGCTCGGAAGAGCGTTAATGCGTACGGGGGGAACGAAACATCGAGGTTCGGTTAGAAATCGAAATAGGAGCAATCCTTAATGCGAGTGTCTAACGCATAGCACAATTGATGGCTTATACCCGTGTTCATTTCCCTGGTCGGTGCAAACAAGTCATATATACTAAACTCACACTGTCTGTTTAAAATTAGCTCTACTTGGGAACATACACTAAGCTAGTTGACCGACATTTTAAGGCCCAAATCGACGATTTTAGTCAAAGTCACTACTTGTATTTTGGGCAGTATATATTGTTTTCATTTAATAAAATTGAAAAGGTTTAATTACATGTCGTCGTTTTGTGTATAACAGATGTGAACCAGAGTAGGGCCGCATTACAAAGAAGTATACTAATTGTTGGATACGGCGGCCATTTAGGGCAGAGATCTATTCTCGAAGAAGAGTAGATAGTTCTCTGTTTTCAGAATGCAGACAAGTGGGACCTTAAGCTGAATTTCAATTCATTTGATACGTCATGGCGGCGGGGAACCGGTCGATTATCGGAATTAACGAGTCTCGTATTACTGATCTCAAGACAAATGTAGACCGATTGCAAATGACCCATCAAATTGTGAACTCTTGTGGTGAGGGGAAGTCGATAAAAACGAGTTTCCTATAATTAATTAGGTTTGATTGACTGAGAATCCGAATCTGGATATTTCCGGATTAAGGGTCAGTTTGTTTTCCACAATTTATTTACGGGAGTCACTGTAGAGGAACTCGGTGAATAAAGCGCCTGTTCGTTGACCAGGAGGTTGCGAGTTCGATCCTGGTATTGGTCGAGAAAGTACATCGCTAGCTTTTCAAGCCCCCCCCCCCCCCTTGTCAGCGAAGTGCCTAGCTGGCAGGAAACAGGGTATATTCGTTTTGATGGGGATGCAAACCTGCAGTGTCTGGCGTACGTAAAAGAACCCGTGACCGTTGGAACTCGACCAGGAGTATATTCAGAAGCGCCACAGCCCGGAAAAAATGTCTTTTTTATTAGTTGCACCAAAGTAGGCCTTTATACCCCAATTCATTTCATTTCACAAATTTTAGAACTTGAGACCTGCATTAGACAACTTAGATTTGTATTATGAGAAATTTGATTTGCCCGTTTCAGCACGAACGTACATCGAATCCAAGAGAACAATCCCTTAATACATCCGTAATCCTGAAAATGGAAGACTTTAGTTCATCTTTATACCGTTAATCCATCGTCTGGCGAATATACTAGAATACAGTTAATCTATCGTCTGGTGAATATACTACAATCAATATGGCGAGAAAGGCTATGATCTCAATAATACCATTATATTAAGACAGTATCTCGTGCAAGACCTGACCAAGCATGGGCTGACAAATTTCTTTCTCAGAAGTCAAATAAACTAATTTCCTCGTCAATTCTCGTTATGTCACGTTTCGCATAATACTCTGTTTTCATCTATTCTCTACCGCGTCTCAACTTCGATCTGATCATGCGCACTAAACACTATCTGTCATAAATCAACTTCCGGTCTGTACTGAGCGCGAGGGACAATTGGATTATCCAATCAAATTAACTAATAATACACTCTTTTGACTCCACAGTAATTCAATACAGAGTCAATAACTTTGTTAACTCTTCCCAGATGAACGATTTCAAGCAATTAGCAGAAAAAAGGAAACGAAGCTTTTTAACAAATTGAGATGCCTTATTCATTCTCAGTAAGACAATCACGCATCAAATAGACGTGGCATGTTACAAACTATCTGATCTCATGCTGAATCAGTTCTCTATTGATCGGTCATTGATCAAAGATAACAACTGTCCTTCGTATGAAGAGGCATTCGGCTAACGTCATTATAAAATTGTTTCATTAGAACCAGTATCTTATAATTGTTAATGCTTGGAGAATCAGGCTTGTCGATCATCATGGAGCATAATTCATGACTTATTCTAATGCCCCGCTTTCACGTGGAATACGAATGCCACGAATCGCCTAGAATCAAAATTTTTCTGATTCGTAGATAAATCATCGACGATTCTTGAAGTTCGTAAGTGATTTTAGGAACAAAACATTTCATATGGGTTACGAATGCAACGAATCGTCCCGAATCCAAACTTAGATATATCGTAGACCCCTTTCTTATCGTCCGTAACATCTTCCTATTCGATTCTTTGACGAATAGTGTCAAATATTGTAAACATTTCGTAGTTTTATCGGCATAATTCTTGGAGAGCGTAGTGTATTCGTAACTGAATTCGGCATATACGTAAGCAATTCGACATATTCGTAAATCATTCGTAACTGAATCGCTACAATTCGTATATGATTCTTTCATTTCGTACCTTTATCGAAACTATTCGCAACTGCTTAGTAGCTACTTCCGATTCTGACTTTGGGACATAACAACTCCGCTTTTAATTGAGGTAAAATGTTTAAACCTGTTGTAGATGTTCATTGGGTGAATGTCTTGATTAACATTTCCCACTAAAGCTAAGCAGGGCTAAGCAATTTCATTGGTCGATGCTTTGGGGCAAGATACCGTTGATTCTAACTTACGGATATTGATGAAACTTAGTGTATAGTTTAACTACCAGGCACTTCCAAACCCTGACTGACTTGGATGATCGTGAACATTTTATGCTTAGACTAAATATAGATAATCAGTTTGATTGCTCGATACTTTTCAAAAAGATAAATGTGCAGTTAATTAATTTTTTTATTTTGGGATTTCGGCGGGGGACACCAGCTCACTGTTGGCGTATTTCTTTAATTTATTGTAGTATTAGATTGTAGTCTAGCTGTTTAGTTTCGCAAACCAGTTTGACACGAATTCCGCTCCATACATGGTTTACTTTATAAATTAATGACGCCTTGTAAACTATTTATTTGAATAAAGCGATTAACGGATGAACATGTATAAAAAGATTATTCATATATCTCGCTTATCACAACTATCGATCTCCGTTAATAATTTTAATAACAATGAAAGATTAGAAAGTTAGACAAGTGAAAAACTCTACATTGTGTAGTACATTTCACAGCTGACGAATTTTCAAATTTGCGAATTTCACAGCTGGCGAAATGAACTGAATTTAATTGAAATGGGGCTGACGCCATACATTTCTGGCTAATGAAAATGGTATGATGGAAAGTTTCCATTTGTTTCGAATTCCAACGGTTCAGTGTTCTGTTACGTGCACGCCAACGTGTACCCTAGCACCCTCACAACTAGACGCCGTTTCCTGCCATCTCCTATCCTGTAAACATTTGTAAAGTAAAGGGGACGCTCGAAGAACTCTGTCGGCCAACACCGAGTGTGCACTGAGTGAGCCTCTGATATCCAAGCCCGAATCACTGCTCGTTATTAGTAGTGTCGGGGTTGTGTGCGAAACAGAGTAGAACACTTGGTGCCCCTTTTCGTTTTATATCAAACATTCGGATGGGACGAAAAACTGAGATCCACTCGGTTACTCGTTACCGTGCACTTACAAGAAGAATAGATAGAAACGCCAATGTCCGGCCAATGCAGGGCGCATGTTCGTCTTCATTATCCCGATTTGTACAAAAGCCCTATTTCATTTCATTTAGCTGTTTACAATTGATTCTAGGTGTATCAAATCTATATTGAAATGTCAAAGACAGTAATTATTTGCCAGGCAAATAGTAATATGTATTATTCAACAAGTTATAGAACGCCACTAACATTACCCATTTCTTGCTTAATCTCAAGTGAGATCCACACTTTTTCTTTACAAAGTACAATAAGGATTACGTCTGGTTAATCTCAGCAAAAAACAAGAAAGCTCCGGGCTAAGACATTTGGTCTTCGCTGTTTTCAAGGTTGTTTTAAGTGGTATGAAGAACTTAAGAGATTAATATGTCTTTTCACAATGGACGACAACGTTCACGTTGGTCTTCATGCAATGTTTTAATAGATTTAAGATCGATGAGCACAGACATGGTTCCGATTGCTTCCAGGAATAACATCTTGTACAAGATTCTACACATGCATTTACATGAAAATCTCCTTAATGGAGACAGGAATATACACCATTCTAACTATTTTAAATAGTTGATCATATTTGACCGACTAAGTCACTAATCTCGTGGGGTTGCTCCTGGTCCACTGGTATCCGCCGACTACTACAGACCCTGCTACAGAGTGGACGTTAAACAGCATCTCTCTCTCTCTCTCTCTCTCTCTCTCTCTCACACACACATTTAGGTAAACTAATATATAGAATTGGGTTGCTTTGGTGTGTTATTTCTGTTTATTCAAAAAAATTAAGTGGAAATCGAAATCAAAATCAAATGGGGTTTAACGTCCTGCCTTTCAGCATCAAGAGGGCCAAAGCAGACGACTTCATTTCAATTAATATCTCGACCAACTCCGGGAAGGAAAACCGTACGTTGAAGTTACGCAAAAATTACATTGTCTACAAAAATTACACTGTCTCAAAAATAATTAAATTGTCTCGAAAAAATTACATTGTCTACAAAAATTACATTGTCTACAAAAATTACATGGTCTACAAAAATTACATTGTCTATAAAAATTACATTGTCTACAAAAGTTACATTGTCCAAAAATTACATGGTCTACAAAAATTACATTGTCTATAAAAATTACATTGTCTACAAAAGTTACATTGTCCAAAAATTACATTGTCTATGCAAATTACATTGTCTATGAAAATTACATTGTCTATGAAAATTACATTGTCTCGAAACAAATTACATTGTCTCGAAAAAAATTACATTGTCTATGAAAATTACATTGTCTATCTATTTAAAACAAATTCAAATATCAATCAGCGACTTTAAATAACCAACATATATATTATCCATCTCTAATATTTAATTCTTAAAGTTTATTTCTTATATTTTTATATTCTTTTAGACTCATGTATTCCATTCTTCCGCCATCAGTCGCCAACAAATTACGTCATCAACAACCAGTTGGAGCAGAGAAACACAGTAACGTCACGTTAATGTTCAGTGGAATCCTCGGATTTAATGACTTCTGTGCCAAGAACTCTGAAGGTTATGGAGCCATGAAGATCGTCCAGTTACTCAACTCCGTCTATACCAAATTTGATATCTTAGTTGATCCAACAACGAATCCAAATATATACAAGGTAAGTCAGTGTTTACTCAAGATTTGTGGAACACCTAGTGCCGCGTCTTAGCAGTGTTTTATGTTTGTACACACAATATCCTACCCAGCGTGTTGGGGGAGGGGGGCAAGGTGGCTCAGTGAGTTAAGTGCTGACTAACTACACAGGACGGATGGCCTGGCATAGAATAACATCTGGTCATTTGGATGAAAACCATGTAATAGTTTCTGAAAAGTGCAAATGACTCGCGGAGACCTCAAAGATGCATTCCCACGAAATTATTCACGAAAGTATAGTTATTTCCCATAAAAGTATGGAAATATGGTGTAAGCCTCTATGGAATGTAGAGATACCACATCATACTACAAAAATACTGAATTCCCCGAAAAACACCAACTAGTGCCACGTCTCCTTGTTGACTGCTAGATTGACGTAGGGACAACTTGGTATGTGTTGATCGGATGATTATGAGGACAGTGAGAGAATTTAATAATTCAAGAATTTACTTAGGTATTTATGGCAAATGCACAGCGAGTAACCACAGACACAATCTAAAAATAAACCCTGCTTCAATCCAGTCACGTGACAGACATGGATGTTTAAAATAGATGTATACGGATTTGGGTAGTTCCTTGCGAGGGGCTGACAAGGACAGCTGTCTAGTTCGGATGGTACAAAAACCCGATGTCCCGTGTACAATTTGGCGTGCACGGAAAAGATCCCTTGGCAGTTGGAATTCGATATACGTGAGAAGGCATCTTTGATTATAGGGAACGTTTTTAAGTAGGATTCACCATTGTCCTGTATAATTAACTTTATCTACCTACTAATTATGGTCCCTGCGTGATAACAATCCAATACAAGACGAATCCTTAACACTTAATTTGCACCTAGCATGGCGGTGTTTGATAATATGTCAACAAAACCACCGGTTATCCCCAATAATTGTGTCGTGAATGGATAATCGGTATTAATGATCATCTGGCACAAATTACAGGATGTCTTTCTGTGTATCTCGTTGTCATGCTTTCCTACTAAAAGCATCAAGAGATTCAGTTGTTTATTTTCTTAATTGCTGAAACGAGATTTCACCGTAATGTTTTTCTGGACGACGCTTTCAATTTAAGATGATATGTGTGTTACAAAAGATTATGACCAATGCGAGAGCGAAAAAAACAATTTACCGTTTCTCCTGTTTGTACTATAGCAGGTTGTCCAGTTTCTCCAGGGAGGCTTAATATAAAAACGCATATTTGTGTCTGACACCGATCGTATACAAAATGCTACTCAGTGATAATGCCGCCGTGACCCACTGAATAAGACGTTGGCTCGCTAACCATGGGGTCTCGGGTTCTCTCCCGGTGTTGTCCGAGAAAGTTCATCGGGATTTTCCGGCGTGTATCCCCAGGGGTGCAGGGCGGGGGGCCTGACAAGGGAAACGTTTACTCGCCCGGATGGAGCGAGAAAACGAGGCCCCGTGTACACATTGTCGTGCACATAAAATAACCCGTGGAACTGGATATAAGAGCAGACCGTATCGCCGTTGTCCGGGCAAAATATTCCCGCATAGCACACTGTATTAGCCGAGTCGTTTGATTTCATTTTTCGTAATTACTGAAATCACCTTTCACCGCGATCTATTTGTTTTAATGTTTAATGTCAAGTAAAATTGTTATTAATTCATAAAAAGCCAACCATGTCGAGTCTATTGTATAATATGTATAAAAGCCAACTGTGTCCAATCTTAGCATGTATAAAGGCATGTTATATACACCGATCAATATTTGGCTGATTCATTAGAAATCAAGATTATGTGAATATACAAAATATTCTATTAATGCCGCGCATCACGATTATTATGTAAATATATCCAAGGGTCTATTAATTATAACAAATGTTCTATTCATTATGAGGATCCACCCGATCTATGACCAATTATAAAAAGGCTGGTATCCCTGTTTCTGATGTGAGATATCACGAGTTATTTGCATTTATTCTTAATTCTTGATCTTCCTGGTTAATGTGTGTTATTTTATTGCACACTAAGAAAATAAAATTAATCTGTTCCCTTGTTTACATAAAATGGGCCAAATGGGTTTCCATGGAAACACAAATTGTGACGTATCAGAGCGGGCGAATGGTTTAAAACATGAGACCTTGTTCACAAAGACTTAAAGTATATCATTTTAAGGCTGTGGCCGTATCCCCATCTATCTTGATGGCTTAACATCCGCTTCCGCTATAGCAATATCACAGACCATTGCGGCCTTTTCAGTTGCTAAGAGTTAGAAGTCTACCCAAATGTTTGCTCTAAATCAATAAAAAGGCCGCATGCGTAAAATATTTTAAGTTTTCGTGAAGAGGTAAAGTTAATCACTTTTACAAATAAAAATACTGACACAATCAGATCACAGTCGTTATTTCATATGCATGTTTACTAGGAAGTCTAAATTGTTAGTTATCAGACAGTGGTTATTAAGTAGGTGCTATATCACTAAGTTGTCAAGGCCGTGACTAATTATTGATATACACTACCATATATATACACTTTTACACTAGAATTAACATCTTTTACAGCTAGTTACACACCTAATAATTAATGACTACTGTATAATTTCTAACCACGTTATAAAACAGTAGTTCAGAGTAATGATCGCTTGTATGAATTAATGGGAAATATTTTCATAAGTAAATGACCTCGGTTTACAAGTAAACGGTTTCAGTTTCACAGTGGCACCATAAACCCATTTACCACACGCGCCAACGACAGATCATCGTAGATCAATTGAGCACTGACATCGTAAATATGTTATAATAAAAATAAAGGTCTAAGAAATAGACTAAAATGAAAATATACATTCGCTTAGACTTTGCCTGAAAGAAAACGCATCTGAGATAATAATCTTATGTTACCCATCTCAAGTATTTTATCGTTTACCCTCAGTTACCCTAACTAGTTTACCCATGTCAAGTATTATATTAATAAACCTTTGTTACCCTAACAAATCTACCCTAACAATCTATTATTATATTAAACACACTTTGTTACCCTAACCAGCCAATCCATGTTATATTAATGATCCTTTGTTACCCTAACTAGTCTACATATATCAAGTATTATATTAATTATATTAATAATCTTTCCTATCCTAACTAGTCTATCCACGTCAAGTATTATATTAATAATTCTTTTTTAGAATAAATAGTCTACCCATCTAATTCTTTGTTGCCCTAAATAATTAGACAAACCTATAGTAATACAGCAATATAGATAAAGACTTACTGAATCGGGCCTCTTAATTAAAATTAATCATTTTTCCTCGGTCGGTTTTAATTAGTGATTTAACGAACAGTTAATAGCTTTACGAAACACGCCGTGGGTTTTGAATCGAATGTTTTATGTTTCCTCTAATCAGCGTAATGTCTTTAATAGCTGTGTTGATCAGTATATAATAATAAATGACCAAAACAGCAAAATGCTAAAGTAATTATCTGATTTGTAGTATATACTAATATTGGAAGATTTATTCTGTTATATTTAAGTAATTTTAATTACTAACCCTTTTAAAAAAGCAAATAATGATAACAACTAAATATACCGCAAAATAAATCACTGCTTTTGTTATAACTATTGTAACTACTAAACTAGTGTTGTAAACAACGCTGACTTTGCTCAATAGATATTATTATTATTTTTAATATTGAATGGTTGGTTGTGGGGTTAATGTTTTAGATTTGTTGGAGTAATTCGTTTGATTATTGACAATAACCACTAGAATGTCGGGGACAGTGTGCAACCATAGTTCTATATAACGGGCCGAACACTAAGCATGTGGGTACTCCACCAGTGTAAGGGGGGGGGGGTATCTTATCCAAACAAGGTAACAATCGCTAAGGCATTTTAAAATAACTTTTAATTGAGTCACATGCATTTCCATCGCAATGACAATGGTGTATACTTTCACAGTTCTGGGATGTCAGGGCCCAAAACTAAATTGTTGGGAACTCCATCGATCTATACATCTTACATTACCTTACTTACTTGTTATTTTAGGTAGAAACTGTAGGTGATAAGTATATGGCAGTAAGTGGACTACCGGAACCCTGTGATGATCATGCGCGATGTATAGCCAGATTAGCCCTAGACATGATGTATATTTCAAGGTCACTGACAGATCCCGATGGAAAACAGATAGTGGTATGTACATTAGCTTCAATCAAGGGGAGAGGGTGCTTATATACTATTCAAAAAAAGTAGGGGATATTTGATTTTTAAGTGTTATTAAAGTCACCTAATGAAACTGACGAAGAAACAAATGACAAAATGAAATGAAGTTCACATTCATCGATTTATTCCAAATGATCGTTAGACTAAGTAAGGCACAGACTGACCATTATAAGGGTAAAATGATACCCGGGGCCCAACAGTAAAGTTACCACAGCATCACAACCAAGTCAGTAACGGGTAAATCCTCCTCTGTTTGCCAAACAAGCATTGATCCGACGTGACATACTCATGCCACTCCTAATGAGACGTCTAAGGTCATTTTGGTCCAGATTGTCCCATTCCTGTTGCAACGCAGCAGCAAGTTCTTGGACATTGGCAGGACGTTGTTGACGTTGACGTAACCTCTGTCCAAGCATGTCCCAGACATGCTCGATGGGGGAGAGGTCGGGACTCAGTGCTGGCCAAGGTAATGTGGTGATGTTCTGTTGTTGGAGGTAACCTGTAACGATCCTGGCCCTGTGACATCTTGCGTTGTCATCCTGGAAGATGAAACGGCGGCCATGACGTCGTGCGAACGGCACAACATGGACTGCCAAGATGTTGTCCCGGTAGTACTGGCCTGTAACACGCCCTGCAACAACATGTAAAGCCGTTCTTCCAGCAACAGTGATGCCTCCCCACACCATAACAGAACCACCCCCAAATCGATCATGTCTGATGACGTTAACGTCTTGGAAGCGCTCGTTTCGACGACGCCACACCCTCCTACGTCTGTCCAAAAAATCAACAGTGAACCTTGACTCATCTGAAAACATCACATTGCTCCAGCGTCGATTATCCCAGTGTTGACGATCCCTACACCAACGACGTCTTGCCTGAATGTGATGATCTCTCAAACAAGGGATCACGCGAGGACGTCGGGCGCGAAGGTGACCCCTATGCAGTCGATTCCGAATCGTCTGGCCACTCACTCTCACACCAGTGTCTGTTTGAAGACGAGCGCTGATCTGATTTGCTGTGATGACACGATTTCTCAAGGCCAAGGTACGGATAAATCGATCCTGGGCTTGAGTTGTCGCCCTTGGTCGACCTGAGCGTGGTCTGTCCTGTACAGATTGTGTATCACGGTATCTGGACCATAGCCTGCTTATGACAGACTGAGAAACATTCATCGTCCGCGCCACAACCGCCTGTGTTGTGCCGATCTGTAGCATGCCAAGGGCACGTAACCTTTCATTTTGGGTAAGCCGACGCATATCAAAATTTGTTTTCTGGTCACTAAAACAATTAAACTGATGTTTCCACCCTGGAATTCAATGCCACAATGACTGTAACATTCAAAGTCAGAGTCGTGCAAATCTTGGGTTGGACCCCCATGATGATCCCAAGCATCACCTGCATTCCATGCGGTAGCTATTGGTGCGTTTGGGCGTCACATGTAACTGGAAATGTTTCTTCTGTTAGGTTCTATAGTGACTTTTTTCGTAGTCATTTGCATATTTTAGTATTATGCCCCCAAAATCAAATATCCCCTACTTTTTTTGAATAGTATATTACATGGTGTATCATTAATTCTAGTGACATGGTTTCGATCCAAAGCTTTACGTGACAAGAAGTAGGGTCGCCTGCCCAACGTCGTGGCTTTCCTCATGGGTTCTCCGCATATTGTCGTCGCGCGTTCTAGAGGCTACAGCTAATATATACAGTGTTTAAGGTCATTAGACGAAGAAATCTATTTTCAAAGATTTCTGGTGATTATGGCGATTGATATTAAATGTTTTGTGTGCTAAACGTATAGGACAAAACTATAAGCCAAATGGGTTGTTACTCGTAATCAGATTTTAGTGTGTTGTAAATGTTTTCATTTTTGAAAAAAAAAACGTTTTGACTACCAGGACGACTCATTTTGTATTATAGATTACAATACATAAGGTTGTTTTGTATTATAATTGCACAGCATAAAGTTGTTTGGTTTTATAGATTACAATACATAAGGTTGTTTTATATTATATATTACAATACATAAGGGTGTTTTGTATCATAGGTTATAGCTGTTTGATTTTGTAGATTACAATACATAATGTTGTTCGGTTTTATAGATTACAATAGGTATCCATTCTGGACCAGTTGTCACTGGAGTTATTGGTAAGAAGATGCCCCGATATTGTCTATTTGGCAATACTGTTAATATAACTAGCCGCACAGAAACTACTGGTATCAAGGGGAAGATCAACGTCTCTGAAGATGCTTACGAGTAAGTTGTTTAGTAAATTCATTCCTCGTCTTGCTTTTTTCTCTACAGTTAAAACCATACAATTCCATATCTGTACAAAGTATAGCCGTTATTTGCTATTTCGTTTCGTTTAATAATGTAATGTAATAAAACGAAACGAAATTGTATATTTCTGTTTATTGTGACGAATGTATTCTGAGATAAGATACACTAGGATAATATATTTTTTTTTTCGTTTACCTTTATTTACTTTACAAATGACAAAGAACAAGAATAGCCTTTATTGGTATGAAAAAATAATTCAATTCTGATAATCTAGATCAAATTTCTTTATTTATAATTTAAATGACAAAAAGATATAAATTATACGGGTATTAAATCACCAATTACTCTACAAAACAACGACCTTTATCTATTAAATGAGGTTGGGTGGTCAAGTGGTCTAACGAGTTTGCTTTAGATCATAAGATTTGTCACTGATTCAAGTGCCGCACTTTCGATCCGAAGCTTGTATGTGACAAGGAGTAGCATCGCCTGCCTAGCCAAGTGAGTTTTCTACGTGAGGGCTGTACCATGTGTTAGTCTTTGACGTTGTTTCTACTCTCTCATGGGAGACATGGACTCTCCGTGGGTGTCGTACGGACTACATAAATGAACGAAAAGGGAACATCAACCGACGAGTCTGATTATTTATTTTTTTAGGTTCCTGAAGAAAGAAGTGTGTTATGATCCCAGCTTTAAGTTTGATTTTAGAGGCGAAGTACCCATGAAAGGTCGACCAAAACCCATGAGATGCTGGAACCTAAGCCGTCGCGAAGATGACGATGGGGACACAAGCTGCTTCAGTAACAACCAATCATCATGTGCTTTACAATTGTAACATATAGTTATATTTTGTAGTTTTGTCAAGCCAAAGGTCATTAAACGTTAAGTTTGTTGTTTTGTTTAATATAATATTATAAATGAAGTGTCAACATATTTTGATCTGAATACAGAAATCCGACAATGTCTATATATAAATATATCCATATCTTATAGTGCCGCTGTGATTCACATAACGTTTATTGTGTATAAAATGGGTTAATTTATTCGAGTAGTTACAAAATGGCAATACAGTCTTGAACACAACTTAGCATGTCAAGGTCTATCTAGTGTATGTATACTGGTAGTTATTAACTTCATTCATTACTTCTAATGTGTTATTCAAAAAGCTATAAACCAGTTTAACATCATATATATTATAGTGCCCCCCTTTAACATCTCGTGTTCAGTTGCACTTTACAAAGTGACAATACATAGTCATAAAATGGCCAGTAAAATGTAAAATTATCGACATGTGAAAAGTTGTATATACAGCATTAGTCAAACGCCAGATTAAATACATGTGTTTTAAGGGGTTTTTAAAAATAAAAATAAATGAACAACATCTTAAACTCAATGGTAGGGGCTTGATAACTAAAAGAGTGCTGACCATAAGAGGACTATAAGCAACAGATTATCAGAAAAAACAGGTAAACTATAAATATACTACATGTATATACTACAGCCACAGGAACCAGGAGTTTATTGTTCGGTATATAATCCAGGTCTGTCTGGTGTTCGTGGTCTTTTATTTATCATTTGTTGTTCTTAATTATTATTAATTAGTTTGTTTTTATCAATATCAACTTTGTAAGCTAATCATTAAAATCCGTTTTTTTTTAAATTGGTGAGTGACTACAAGTGCACGAGGATGTTCACAGCAGTAGAGATCTGTCTGAAACCCACCTCGTTGACTTTTCCGACTTTTGTGTAGCACTGTGTATTTCTTTAAATGTAGCGCATTATACAAAACGTATATTTACCAATTTGTTAATTAATGAAAAATCCTCGATAAACGACCAATCGAACAAACCAAGTTTATGTATTTATGTTCACTTGTCCCCAAATCAAATTCATATATAATAAAGTATGTATACTTATGCCGAAACAGCTACTAATATATTTATGCGACGTTTCAAAGTGTATTTTCTCACCGTTACCATGCTCATTAGTAGCTATTTCCAGAAATATGTGTTATAGATTGTTACTTTGTCCAATAACTAAATGTCGTTATAATATTATTTTCAAATTCATATGGTATAGAAATTATGTTAAGTTGTTGCAAACCAAGTTTGTAGTATCTCTGTTTACTTTGAACAGACCATGTTTACTTGTAGCAAACCAGGTTTACTTGTCGGAAACTAGGTTTACTTGCAGCAAACCAAGTCTTATAGTATTTATGTTTTCTTGTCGCAAAGCCAATTTACGAACTTTCATATTTCACAGAAATCAAGAGGTTGTGTCCTATTTGATAAAACGTGTAGCCCCAGATGGTAGCTTTAAATAGTGTGTGATATTATATGTTTTAATGCTTTAATATGTTATATATATGAATATAAATATAAATTATTTTGTTGTGAACCGGTCCTTAAAAACTCGGATTCAATAAAGTACGAATGTTATATAAAAATTGTTTTGACTTTTCTGCCCCCAGCACAACCGATTTAATTGTGTGGACAGTTCTCACCCGCCATAACTCTGAACGTATAATATATGTAATATAAACGAATAGAATTCCGATTCAAATTTTCAGCCTGCAAAGTCGAATTGACCTAATTGTCACCTCTAGGCCTATCTCATCAGTGGGACCCCAAGTTTATAGAAATATTGGCAAGTTGTGAGGCTCAATACGTATACGGGAGTCTATAATGCCATTGAAACAATTGATACAGGAGTCCTTATGATTTTGGATATATTATATAATGGAATACCTGGTGTGCACTTGAAACAAGTTTATACGCTGGCACTGCGATAAATTAGTTCCAATGGAACTGTTGGCTCTTAACCTATGGTCTGCTTTGCCGATTGGTAAATGTGAAGAATTCACGATACAAGACTCACTCGGTGCCTGCCGGGCTGACTGGGGGCCTTTAATGGGGACTTTAAAACCTGTATTGCTTAATATTGAAATAGTATCCGTAGCCCTGGATCGAGGAAACACACCCTGTCCTGTGTCCAATGTCCACTACATCAAGATCGGCACTAAATCTGTACTTTAATGTCTATTTATAAGAACATGTTATCTTGATGAGGGGCGAGGCTATACTTAAAAATATATGGTGCTTCCTTTTGTTATCGGTGTTTGAATTTGAATGAGCATAACCCTATGTATGCCGACGCCCACACGAAACTATGCCAAGAAACTAATTAAGAAGATTTATGATCAGGGTAATGAAACTGACCCGGTAATAATTATAAAATGGCATTTATATACGGTCAGTGTATACGATATATCTGTTACAGTTGGAATATCTGTTTTGCGTAAAGTGATTATGACGCTCGCCCATTAACCAGAAAGGCCCATGTTCGTCGATCCCAGTGTTGGTTATTAAAGTTCCTCAGGATCGTACACCAAGGTTTCTACGTGCCTTGGTGTAGAAAGAGGTTGGGGCTGTCTAGGAAAAGTGGCAACACACCGAGGTATCATGTGCACCAAAGACATCTCGATAAGAATAAGCAGCATTTCCGTCGTCCGGGCAAAATGCACCCCCCCCCCACGAACAGATGTCCGCTTTTGTTATCTCGGTTGAACGTTATGAAAGTCAGTATAGATGGTTGAGTCAGGTTTCTAGAACTCGTTGCAAAACACACCTGTATTGATATGCATTACACTCATTGTTCTTATCCACACAAAACCGGTTGGGTGGACAAGTGGTCTAACGTGTGCTTTATATCATAAGGGCTGTCACTGAGTCAAGTGGTGTGGTTTTAATTCTCGACATCTACGTGACAAGGAGTACGGTCAACTGTACAACCTCGTAGGATTCTGGGGTCCCCGGGTTTCCCCTCACTGCTAAAAGACCCCTGTATGTGCAAGCGAAATATTGAAATAGTTAGCTATTTACAATAATTCAGAGAATTCAGAAAAAGCAAGGTATATTACAATTGCATATTACACTATTGTTAAGGGTTTAATCACTAAAAATGATTTCAGGTTAGTATTCCGTTCAATATTTACAAAAATCTTACATTCGGCACTCCCCAGCAGAAGATATAAACAAGCCATAAGTATTGGGTAGAATTGTTTGGAATACATTTTAGTGTGGACTAAACCGTGAAAAATTCGATATTTTTCGAGGAAAAACAATCAAAATATTATCGGCGAAGCTAACCACACTTGACATGATAAAATCCATTTAGAACCAGTCCACCAACTTTTTACAAATAATTTACTTTTTTCCAATTTTGCGAGAAAGATTAACTGGCAAACAAAATAAATATGAAACATATTTTGTAGACGCCCTGCTATTCCAGGCAGATATTTTTGGTATCACATTAAATTGCTTTATTTAAATAAAATAATTTGAGAAGTGGTTTTTTTTTGTGTTCATTATCCAAAGTTGTGTTCGACTATTATCCACATCTTGTACTTGAACCCAGTAGGACGTAAGCTCATGGGAAACCTTATGCTGCAGGTAAAATCCACATAATTTGCGCCTAAAGCCTAGTGCACACTGGCGTTTTCTCCCTCTTGTTCATGTCGTGTGTGGGGGGTTGGATGGCTGAATGGTTAGCACGCGCGCGCTGTATCATAAAAGTCTGTCATTGAGTCAACTGGCGTGGTTTCGAATCCCCGGTTGAACGTGACAAGGAGTAGGGTCGCCTGTCCAACCTCGTGGGTTTTCTCCGGGTCCTCCGGTTTCCTCCCACTGCTAAAGACCCCTACGCGCAAGCGAATTATTGAAATAAAATTAAAAAACATATGTTAGTCCCGAAATGACCTAGTTTGTGTCGTGTGGACGTTAAACCATCTCTCTCTCTCTCTCTCTCTCTCTCTCTCTCTCTCTCTCTCCCTCTCTCTCCCTGTCGTGTGTACACGTAGGCTACAAGAAATTCACAAGCGACGGTTAAAATGGCGGCGCTCACGGCTGAAAACCTAGTTCTCTGGGTCGTTAATTTGTAAGATAACATGATAATTTAAAACTGCTCCAACCATCCTGCATTGCGGAATATTATTGTGTTTCCATAAATGACGGGGGATTTGACGGCAGAATGGTTAGCGCGTGCGCGTTGTATCATAAGATATGTCATTGAATCAATTGGCGTTGTCTCTTTTCGCCGGTTGTACGTGACAAGGAGTAGGGTCGCCTGTCCAATCCGTGGGATTTTCCCTAGTTCCCCGGTTTCCTCCCATTGCTAAAGACCCCATATGTTAGTCCCGAAATGACCTAGTTTGTGTCGAGTGGACGTCGAGTGGACTTTAAACCCATGTCCCTCTCTCTCTCTCTCTCTCTCTCTCAATCAATGGCACTCAACTCGCACCCCCGTCTATCCCATCTCTGCATAGGTCTTCTTCGTCATCTAATTCTTCGTTCTAAATGTGGCAGTTGTCGATCGAACTAAGCTAGATTACGCCCTGTCTTAACCTATCTAATTCTGACGATAAATTTTTCTTCATCTGCGAATTGGCCTTGTTAACCTAGTCGGGCCGCCGGACCTATGCGTACACCCCCGCCCCTTCACATTCCGGATTTTGACAAAAACCTTTATAAATGTTTACGACATTACTACGTGTGAAACGTTATTATCTATTCGCTTGACTACAGATATGAAAATTTTGGCAATTCGTTGATATCCGTTGCCCTAGAAAACCGCCAGTGTAGACTAGGCTTAAGTGAAGGTTATCTATAATACAGCTTCGCGTGTCTCTATGCAAAAAAAACCATCGAGATATACAATTGTAAGAAATTGTATTTTATTACAAACCGAAATACACGAAGCCAATATATAACATTTTATAATTAGAATATACTAACACTTTGAGATCGTTCCTTTATCGCAAGAAAATATATGTACTGTTTGTTAAAAATAACACCAGATGAACTCAGACTTATTTACTTAGGGTTAATAAAGCAGGTTTTTTTGGAGCGAAGTGTTATATAACTGGGGTATATGAATATCGTTGATATGTGCAATTGAAAAAACGTTTTTTTCATGATAAATAACCAGATTAAATTCAGGTGCATGAGATGTGTACATTTATATAACGTATAAAAGGGTGTATAGCTCTAATTCGACATTATCGAGCGTGGTTTCCCCTAGTTATTCCGATGAGACGAAAACCGAGGTCACATGTACACATTAATGTGCACGTAAAATAACCCTTAACAGTTGGAATTCGAAATACGAATAGGCCGAAGTACCGCTTTGTGTCCGTCTTCATGAGCTCAGTCGATGCAGAAATGTAGGACGTTAAACCCCATTCTATTCAATATTATCCATAATATAAACAATAAACAATGAATGAGAATTCCTTTTTGTTCTATGTAAATCAATAATGATGTTGTTTTCTTGTCGTGAAAATACGGGTTTCTGATCTATCTATAAATAAAAAAAAATCAAAGATGTATGGGTGTGTGTGTGGGTGTGTGTTATGTTCGGCCATCACACTTCGTCGCCATGCTCCACCTCCACATATGTGGTATGTGGCGGTGTGGTATCAAATTAACCAGCATGACCCCGTGAATGTTTTTGGGTCATCCAATTTGGGCCCCGGGTGAATTAGGTACTGGGCGAATTTGGGCCTCGGTAAAATTTGGGAAGCGGGTGGATTGCGTCACTGGCGAATCTGGGCCCCGAAAAATTGGAGCCCCGGGCGAATTGGGCACCTCGCGAATCCAGGTATCCTGCTAGTATCCAATAATTCAGACACAATGGATATTTTAGATTCAGCTCTCGTCATATGTTCTCAATAGTCTCATTGGTAATGAGCAGACTTGATAAACAAAGCACTAAAGCAGGTCAATACGGAAGTAATTAAAATGGCTGATCCCCCGCAAAATACAGTAAATGAACAAAAAATATGGTAAATATGTAGAAGCAATTTGTAATGAGCAGACTTGATAAACAAAGCAGGTCAATACGATAGTAATTAAAATGTTTTATCCACAAAAAAAGATAGATAAAAATAGGGTAAATAATTATGTAGACGCAAACTATACTGCTATTCAGTTTGGATTGTTCATGTATTTCACCAAGAATAACTGATTAGATATTACAATAATAATTTAAAACTTGAATGTAGATCGGTTTACATATACACTCTTAGTACATTACTTTTGCGTTTTAGTCTATTTCTTCTGTCTTAATATGGCAAGGACAGTGTCTAGTTGTTCGGATTGGACGGAAAACGTGTACACATTTGCATGGACGTAAAAGAAGCTTGACATTTGGAATTAGTTATAAGAGTAGGCCGTTGTGCCGCTGTTGGAAAAAATGTCCGTCTTCTCCAACCCCATTTCATTTCCTGTTTTAAGCCCCACAGAATAGAGCCACACACCCTTTAAGTGTACACGTGTAAATATTTTAAATATGTCTTACCCTGGTGTAAATGATAATTATCTGACAGTTGATTTATTTACCTTATTCAAAAGTTAAATTGATATAAATACTGTTTATGGATATTATCTT